GATCTTCTGCGCTGGCATTAGCCCAAATCTCGTCGACCTGGGTCGCCAACTGATCCCAGTCTCCCAATGCATGCAGACACTTCATTCGGCCAATTTGAACATCAGCAGAAGAAGGATCCAACTTTGCCTTCTGATCATAGACACTCAACGCCTCTTGCCATTTTCCTAGCCTTTCATACCATTCCTCTTGTTTGCTAACATCGTAATGCTCGTGAGCCATGACTAGTGTCCCCCAAGCGGCGTCATGTTGTTGAAGACGAGTATTGATTGAGATGAGCGCCTCGATCGTGGCGGGAGACGCTTCGGAAAAGAATTCGAGCTCCTTGTAGTGAAGAGCCTTGGCATACGCCAAATTCTTCAATGCGCACTCTCCTAGAATTTTGTGCTCTATGGGCAAAGGTTTTTCTTCGTGCTCCATAAATTCTGCGAGTCCGAGTAAACGATGTATCAATTCGGAAGGCGCTGTGCCTGACGTCAAGGCTGTTTCGACCGATCGCACGAGATCCTCCTGTTGGCAAGGGCGCCTGATTTAGTCAAGACACATATGAGGAAAAAATGACGAGCCTGATATTGATCATAGAGCTCTCCCCAGCACGACAAGAATGCCGGGTTGAACAATTCCTTGGCTAGAGGGGTATGAATGTCGACGAGACTCATACAGGCACGAAGAGCATGCGATGGGGATTCTTTCATGAGCTCGACGGTGAGACGATGGATCCAATCAAGCCAATCATCCCGGGTGCTGGTCTGAGAAGTATCCCATGCGGTCTTCAAGTGTTGTTGGTTCACTGTGAGCTTAGCAGCTTCAGCAGCAGGAACAGAGAACTCGGCCGACTTCGCGTTCTCGATTGAGCTATGGAACGTGTCAAGATAACACATGAAGAATCCAGTACAAGGCCTACAGTAATTCTAGCACCCCAGGTTCCTGAGGCAGCTGTTCGCCATTGAGAAGTTTAGTAATCAGATTCTCGTACTTGATGTGCGGGATGCGATTTCGAACAAGGGCCTGATAGGAATACACGAATTGACACTTTCTGTAACTTGTAAAGATGAAACACCAACCTTGTTGATAGTGGGCACGAAGATAGCAAAATCTGAACCCAGTTGAATGCAAAGTGAGCACAAGGTATCCATAACCGCGAGTCGCAGCTCATTTTGGGAACCTTCCAAAACACGAACTAAAGGGAGAATTATCCGTGAGGCGTGGTCGGAGAAATTGACACGCTTTGATAAACCATCGATGGTCTGAATGGCTTTCTTGCGAAGGGGCATTGTTCCATCCAGGCGGTCGTAAGACTTAACAATCAGAGGGATAATGAGATGGAGGTACTCCTCGATATTGGCACCGAAAGTCTGAAAGGCATCGAAGATCTTCATCTGAGTATTGGTTCTCTTATCGTTAAGCTCTCCGTCGAACACCTTTAGGACCAGTGGAAGCACGGAAGGTAGGAACGGTTTGAACTCGGCATTCAATGCCTTGCTCAAGGCTTCGATGAGGGACACGATCGGAAGCTGAAGCGCAGCATTCTCCCATATGTCTCTGATGAGATTAAGGATGATTTGCATATAGTTGCGAATATGCTGCTTGATGATGCCGACTAAAATTGTCAGCTGCTGCAAGTGAAATTCTTGTAGGCGAGCAGCGGAGTGTTTCGTCACCGTCGCAAACGCAGGGATGATCTAGGTTAAGTCAGTGTCATGGTCATTAGACGTGTTCGTTCTTAGGCACACCTGCGGCAAGAATGATGCACATTTCAAACCTTGAGTCTTGAAGATCGACATGACAGCTTCAATCGCTGTATGATGATGTGTACTGAGGGACTGATCCTTCAAAATAGCCAACAGCGCGTTGATGACCACATTTTGATAGTAATCGTCGGTTACCATGGTGGGAGTTTGGTTTATGGGGACTTGATTAACCGCAGTGATCAGCGTTTCACTAGAGGCATCTTCAACTGAACTTCCCTGCTCCTGTTATGCAGTCATTAGATAATTACAGCGAAGGAGGAAAGTGCCTCACCTTCCGTCTGTACGGATCAACCGCTCCAAGGATACCCAATATTTTCACTACTTCCCGTCGGACAGCCTGTGAACTTTCTGACTTCAAAATCTTCCCCAGAAGCGGAAGCAACTGCGGGTAGTCGACAAGCGGGTCAATGACATACCCAGTGCTAGAGCAGACTTGTCCGAGAGTGTGGAGAGCAGCGTCTCGTTCGATGAGTGACGGATCAGACAGCTTCTCCGTCAAGACCTCCATGATATCTCCAATATGGTCCATTGTTTCCTCCCCCGCAACGCACGCAAGCTCGCCCAAGCACATCAAGACATTGGATGCTGCCGCAGGATTGGGGTCGTTGGCTTTTTTCAATAAGACAACTAGAATGGGTATAGCGTAGGGTTTGATAAGACGCTGAGTAGCACTGATCAGCAACGAAAGGAGCCGAGTACATTCCTCGCGATTGCGACTAGTCAAATATTCAATCGCAAAGGCTGACAAGTAATGTAAAACGACTTACACGACAGTCGTGTACTCTAGCTCAGTTAAGAGCTGAATCAGTGCTTTACGCAGCGACGGAACCACATAAGCCGGATTGTGCTTGGCGAGTCGCCCGATCAACGATACCGCAGTTATACGATTCTCGAACTCTTCATCATTTAAGGCTATGAACAAAGACCGCACGTTTTCTGCCTGGGCTAGGTGCTTGTCAAAGCGTTCGTGGAGTGAAGAAAGCACTGTCTGCCTGATTGACGGGTCTGCCGGACAGTCAGGGACTACCAGGCAGGATGTTTGAAGAAAACCCACCTGGGTCAGCTATGCCTACCGTCAACAACTTGTCTAAAACGTCGCTGATAATCTCAATAGCATGGCTACTGGACTGGTAGCAAATAGGATCTCGCACGAAAAGACGACAGCAGGTTAAAGCAGCGGCACGCCGTACGTCTGCATTATCGTCCTCAAGATATGGCAGCGCACATTGCCGAACGAATTCATTCAACAAGTGCCCTGGAAGAGGTTTGACCATGGGAGAGGAACGCACAGTGCAGAGCTTACCTGTGAAGTCAAAAGAACCGAGTGTCGTGAGAGCTAGTGTGATTGTCTCCGGGCTCTTGTCGTTGGCAGCAGCCTGAATTTATGTGGACGACTGTAGGTGAGAAAGAGGATATTGAACTCACCTGTGCGCTCAGCTCTCTGTTGACGGTAGAAACTTCATTTCTGGCCAGCGTCGACGGGGCGCCCAGGGGCTTGTATGGCTGTCCACTGAGAATCATCGACAACAAGTCCAATAGCTTATCTGCAAAAAGCATAAGCGGCCATGACCATAACAAAGATGTAACACAGACCCTGTATGGTGCTCAAAAGAGGAGAAATGTAATGCACTATAGCCGCCAACGCTTGACAGAGTGGCTCGCTAAGTCCGGCAGCAAACATTAGATCGAGTTGGTCATGCAACAACTTGGTCAAATGAGGTCCTACTGCCACGGCAAGCATACCGATGCATTGGAATATGGGCTCCTCTGATGTCGTGTTCTTCCTCCTAATTCACACTTAGAATCCTTACTCCAGAAGGAAATGTCTATGACTTGCCCTCTATTCTGTAATCCAGCTTTGATATGCGTCATGATTGAGTCCAAAAATGGTTTGATATCACTGCCTATGGCAGTGGCCGTATGTCCGATAGCAATGAAAGCTGTGAAATGGTCAGACGGACGGATGTCGACAATTCGTGGGCATACCAAAATGCCTTTCATGGGGCTTTTCGAGCTGTGTCAGGAGATGACTCATGGATTTATGAAGGTAATTATCCTTGAAAGTTTGCGTATCATAGGCAGCTAGAGATGGTATCATCGCAATAACTTGTTTACGAACGAGGCTGTCTCGATGAGTTCGGAATCGGAGAATTTTCTCCGCCGTATCCATAAAAGTCTCCTTCATAAACTGGATGACACTCGCGATTAAGAAGGATGAACAGAGGATATGAGTAGACTTACCATCCCAGCATGCAGGAGAAGTTCTCTGTACGTAAGTAGCGAGCCGTGTATGATTTCTGGTTGTGGCATCCTCAATCCTGCCTGAGCCTCCGTTAAAATTCCGTTCAGATAGGTGTTCCGACTTTGACGCTCCCGCTGTACGACAATTTCTAAGCAAGCTGCCAGTAGTTCGGCAGCGCCCTCCCTAACAATAACGCGCTGATCTCGCAGAGCGACGACTATGTTTTCAAACACAAGGCTTATGTGCGAATGAAAATATCCAGGGCTGTTTCGAGCGAGCTCCTTCAAGATTAAGACGCCGGCGTATCGAGGCGATTCCTGTTTCTCCGGCTGCATCAGTTCTATTGCAGCAGGAACCTCGTAATCCATAAATCGATCTCCAAAGGCGGAACCACCAATGTGTGCTATCTGTCCTAGGGTCTTGGACGCCACCAACATGAGGTTGACATCTGAGTGGGGAAGTAGGTGCTTGACATAGTTGTAAAATCGAAATAAGTTGCGCTTTGACTCAATAGTTTCTCCGCTAGTAATTTCAAGGAGATGATCTAATCACTGTGTTAGTTCGCGTCGCAAGTACGAGAATGGCCAATGACGCGCCTATAGCCAATAGACCACCAAAGTTTTCCGTTGTATTCTGGCTATGCATGAGATCGAAAAGCCTTCGATTGATATTGTCATCCCACAGCTTAGCAGCAGCATCAGGTGTCATCTCGGCAACAGTAGTGGCAACCTGGACATGAGCATGAGCCTCCAATCAGGTTGGAATAACAAAGAAATTCACATATCGACGCAGGTTGACAGAAGACTCCAGTCGTACTTCGTGACTCTTGCTCTTAAGCCCTTGGAAAATCTGCGATAAGACATCGGCCTGCGCCGACTGTACAGTGGATGTCATGGCCCGCCAGGATCCAGATCGTAAGAGAGGAAGAGACGTCACTATTGCTGTGTTGATTCTTGGAAATCCAGTGGATAATCTTGTTCCAAGTGGCCTCCCCCAGCTATGCTGGTTAGGCTTGATGGTCTAGTAGTATGATTCCTTGTTAGGGCTCTATCATTTCGAGGAGGTCCCGGGTTCAATTCCCGGTCAAGCCCTGTGGACACTTGGTTTTTGGCTTTGGGCTTTTCAGGATTCAACAAGTCACAACCCAAGTGAGTCAAGTCTTATAGGCTCCCAAAAACTACGTGTAAGTTTTGTTCGAACCTCGCTAATGGCTCTCCAGTCACCGGCTTCGACGTGTTGAAAGGTTTGACATTTGTCCGGGAATGGTGCGACATCACTTCGGCCTTGGCTTCAATATCAATACTCAAATATGTTCCTGCAGCACGGCAAGAACTACCCGTCCGATATTCCGGTAAAGTGTTCAAGATCTGTCATTGTCGAGTCCAAATCCGTTGAACAAACCGGACTGTAAATCTTGTCAAGCGGCAAGGGTCCGGGCGTTAAGCAAGTCCGCTGCGATACACGTCGGTGTTCGTAGTAAAATGCTTCAGACTTGATAATGGAATCATCGCTGGCGGTCCGTCACCTACGGTCATGGAGGGTTTCGAGATCTTCTCTATCTTCTCTCGAGTACGAAACCGCTTATTTTAGGTCCGAACTTAGCGGCAGGGGAGGCTGGAGTTGATCGAGGCACTTTTGATCAGAAGCTCTACGTCAACGATCGCTTAGTGAATTTTACATGTACATGCATAGCCGGTACTCTTTGTATATAACTATGGCATACATGATCAGGGCCGTTGCGGCTACCGTTCTTTCGCGCCACCATGGTCGATATTCAAGCTGGCTGCTTTAGTAACTTCTTCAGGAAGAACAAATCTCGACCCCTACCTGCCAGTCCTGAGCGCGAGCCCTCAAAGCCAGAGACAGAATGTTCAAAGGCAAGTGTCAAAATTGTAATCATTCTTGCAAACGAGTAATAGATGTAAACAGGGCTGTCTGAATCTTAGCTGCGACTACTCGTATGCGGCCCCCTCGACGTGGTGGAATATTAACGATCCTGTTCCGACCTATTCTCCACCCCAAGGTCCCCTTGATTCCTTCCAGCGTCAGGATCTCGTCGACATCGTCGATACCACTCTCGAAAGTCTCAGTCCCACCCTTCGACAGCTTAGCTTGAAAATTCACGGCAAGTATCTATATGGTTACCACAGTCTGTCCACCATTGCCCGCTGACACGGACGTGATCTAGATCATCCAGAACTCGGTTTCGAAGAACAGTCAGTACACGACCCGTTTCTCTTCCACCGGCTCTCAAACTTCCCCTGCAGATATGCCCGCGATCTTCTTTGTGCCTACATGGAGAATCACGGTTTTCAGGTCACCAGACAGTATCTGGGACTAGATACTGCCTGGCGTGCCGAGTACACACATGGAAAAGGCGGTAGCACTCTCGGCATAAATTCTGGTAAGAATACAGATGGTTTTTTTGGCTGTTGTGTTCTCACATTCTCAAGAAATGGACGGCCTCAGAGGTATCGGCCATGCTTGCGGTCACAATCTTATCGCTATCAGCGGTTGCGGGGTCGCTATCGCTGTAAAGGCTACCCTGAAAGCACTGGACATCCCAGGAAAGATTATACTTCTCGGCACGCCCGGTAAGCAATATATCCAGGATTTCAGGTTCACACCAGTGGTTGTTTCTGATTTCCGGAACAGCCGAAGAACGTGTGGGGGGCAAGATCATCCTGCTGGAACGCGGGGCATATAAAGATATGGATCTTTGCGTCATGTAAGTAGGCCTCGTCTTCCCAAATCAAGCCCCATTGAGGACCTCATAGGTGTCATCCGGGTCCCGGACCTTCCAACTCGGCTAATCTTGGCTCAACGACAGCCATGCAAGAGGCAGAAGTGGAATATTTTGGGCAAACGCAAGCACGGTGTTAACTTTTGTTTTCTTCATAACAGCTGACTTGTGTTTGTAGCGCGCACGCGGGGGCTGCCCCATGGTAAGGACATCTCCGTCCTCGAAATTCTGACCCCAGAAATCATCACCCTTTTTCAGGGAAGGAACCAATGCCCTCGACGCCGCCTTCTTGGCGTATTCGAGCATCTCCGTCCTTCGACAGCAGATTAAACCTGACCATCGTATTCACGGCATACTAGGTGGAAAAAACTGGTCTGCAAATGGTATGTATCACCCGTCTAAGCTGGGTAGTCGATACTGAAACCAAGGTTCCCCAGTCATACCTGATTACGCTCATATGACCTGGATTGTCCGCGCGCCTACTCATGGGGAAGTAGGTGAATTTGCTGAGCGTGTTAAGGCTTGTTTTGAGTAAGCGCCCCGCTCCGATTCACCGATTACTAGCGTCAAACTCTCCCGTGATCAGAGCAGCTGCCCTAGCAACGGCATGCAAAGTCAAGATAAATTTCTCCAGTCCTTATTATGAACTCCTCCAAAATAGCGTTCTTGGCAAGTGATAATCATTCCATTATCAATGTCAAACTCACCTCGGTCATCTGATTGTTACAGGAAAAGAATTCGCCGACAAGGTCGGGAGGAACTATGGTATGTTATCATCAGACGGAGATGGAACATCAGCCTCGACAGACTTTGTGAGGCTCGCGTTTCTCCGTTGTTTCCCCTGCTGACCGTCTTCTCTTCATTTCAGGGAAATGTGTCATTCGGTTAGTGATTACAGCTTGAAACCCCGGTCATGAAATGACTTCTTACTCTCACTAGTCTTGCCCGCACTTCACCCATGCTATGGTAAAGATATGTTGTGTATTGCGATCAACAGCTGATTTCTCCTTCAGCTATTCCGACCGAACCCAAAGGGGGTAATCACACACCTGCATTTACCAAAGCTGCGGCAACTATGGCGGCCCATGAAGCTACAATGACCGTAACGAAAGGTCTTGCTCTCACAGGACTTCGAGCGTTGTATGATAAAGCTTTTCTCAAAGCTGTGAGCGCTATCTTCTTATTGGAAAGCATTGCTGACGTGAATGCTTTGCAGGTCAAAGCAGAATTTGAAACCCAAATCAAGGCATCTGTAGTTTGATCAATGAGGGACATGCAGACAGCTGCATTAGTCATCGTAAGGTATGTGCACTTACGACGCATTGATTTTTGACGTTGGTGAATTAAACCTTTCAATGGTGTACTACTTTGATTAATTAGTGAGCGTATTTTGAAATGCATTATGTATGGGAAACCACCTGTCGCGTCGAATTCCTGTATCCTTTTATATATGATTTTTCAAATTGCGCCGAAATTGGGATGCGTCGTTAGAAACACCAGCAAAGATCGCGTCCAGCTCCTAGTCGCCTATCCTGTTTAGAAAGCGGATCGTGGGTAGTTAATTTGGACGTCCCAATTCCTATAGACCTCGTCGAAAGAAAACTAGATTAGGTGCACATTATGGCTTGTAGTCTGGCAGTAACAATATCATCCTGACACTATATTTCCATGTATATACTCGACGGAGAGTATCCATCCGACGGTCAAATGTGGTTCAGAGAAGTTGAAGAGACTGGCAGCTCTCCACGTTGGTCTTGTGAGACACGGAATGTTTCCATTCGCTCGAACTCTCAGAGTCCTCGATACCTAGCCGCAGCGGCATGTGGGAGAGAAGAGAAGAGGAACTACGAAGGTGCAATAGCTGTAGGATGGGAGCTTGGAAGATGCACCATGCTAGGAGGCAAGTGAACGCGGTGGCAGCTTAACGCGCTGCATTGGAATGTCACGAGTAGGCCTATCGCGAATGGTGCCGACAGACACAGTAGTGGGCGAGGGAAAGGAAGGAGAGATGGAGGATAAAACGAAGAGATCGCCCTTTATACTTGTCGGGGGGCGAAGGCGCGACCTGCGCACAGTGGTCGGGACGCGTCATAGAAGATACGTCAACCGTTGGTGTGTTTGTCGCTGGCAACAGAAAGACGGCTCGCCAGCCTACGAGAGGCAATACCCTATCACCACATTCCATCCTCACTGCCGAGCATTACTAGGCAATGAAACGCTGGGGGAAACGGCCAGGGTTTTCTGAGTCGTACTTGGATATTCCAATCTTCCTAGAAAGGTTTAAAGAAAACTAGATTCCATTAAGATACTGATCATCCCAGGCGTGAAAGATAAGAAAAACCTATTCTAAAGGAGAACATAGTAAAGACGTAATCAATAATCATACTCATGCAGAAGCGGAAGGCTCAGGTGCCGGCGCTGCAGCAGGGGCAGGCGAAGGAGAAACCTTCGCCTGTTTTTCCGCAGGCTCTTTCGCTTTCATTATCTCTTCCCGCTTGGATTTCGCAGTCTTATGCTTCGGTTTGGGTGCTGCAGCTTCAGCTACCATCCTTTCCAGCTCTCTGCGCTCCGCATCTGATTCGTCCGGCACGGTCGACTTGAAAATGGCTCCGATGAGAAGTAGTCCCTGATATGAGCGTGTCAGCACACGTAAGTATGGAACGAAACGCGACTGACTCTGGCACGGTTATACATGACACTATCTGGGACACCTTGTTCTTTTAACACATGATCGAGTACTTCGCGAAGTACTTGTATCACTTCCAGTCGTGCTCCACGCCATGAGGCCAGCATAATCTAGGGTGCTCAAATCAGGGGAAAGGATGCAAGGAACGGAATAAATGTCCCTGTACCTTGCCAGTCACGTCCATTTCAAGCGCTCTTAGCTCCTCTTCACCTAGCTCTCCCTTAGCCTGCATCTTCTCCATTTCCTGTGCACTCAACGCATTAATTCCCACAAGAAGCTGAGGACGCGAAAACACTCACAAGCATCACGTCTCTCACGCTCAATCTATAGTGCAAGTCAGGTAATACGCCACACGAATATGAAGAACGGGCTACGTACGCACTTCCGATAACGCCCCAAACGTCTTTGGCCAATGAGCCTTTTTCCTTCAAACGCGAGAAGAATCCGGGACTATCACATGTTCAATACACGAAACCAGGACAGCTGAATCGGATTGCCACGCACATGCCCAGAAACTTTTTCGACTTGAGGAATGAAGTTGCCTTCATCATGTAGACCATCCCAATTGTATGCAGAAGCTCAACGCCAAAGCTCTCTAACTTCAAGTCTTCCGCTTCTCTCTTGAACTTTGCCTCAAATGCCTGTGTTTCCGGATCATCCTT